CCACCCCGTTTTTGATCCCATTCCCCACTCCACCCCCACAAAATGTCTCTGGTATATGGTTGTTCATTATTTTGGAGAAAGGATCTTTAAGCTACTTTGTGCCACCTCCAATGGAAGCTGTAGTAGTGAAATAATTTAAAGCCTTTATATGAAATTTAAAATAAGGTGAGAAATCCTGGAAGATTTGATCCATAGAGTGCTAATTGAGAACCATTTCTACAAGCAGAAGGAAAACTCATAAAGTCATTAATGCAGAATCCAAAATTGCCCCCTTGTCCCATAATAAACTGCGGTTTCTATTTCTCTTCCTTTGGGTTACATCTGACAGCTCCCCCGTCCAGGGGAGGTGCCACATTCCCCAGCAGACTTACGCGCAGCCACGTAGGTGCAAGTCCCCAGCCCCTAAACCAGATTTCCTGTCAATTGTTGCATAAAGACAAACGAAGCATCCGCGAGGTCGAGCAGCCATACTTGGTATATAGCTGAGTATGTGTCAGGCCAGATTGGATTTGCAGGTGGATTTGCACCTGGTTCTGCTGTGAAGGAAACATGGAGGGGACAAAAGCGGAGGCACAAGAGACACCTGGAGAGTCTGACAATAGCAGCCATTTTCTTGATGTGGTATCTTCTTTGGGCCCAACTTTTTGGGATCTGCTTCAGAACCCTGTTCCCGTCGTTCTCTACCAGAAGTTACCTTAGACTTATGGGAAACCTTCAGGGCTCATTAGCCCCACTTAGAGCCGGGATTTGTGCAGTTGGGGTATTTTATTGGGAAACTAATACCCTGTCTTCTCTATTGACACATCTGACAAATTCTTTTATGTTTAGCAGTATTTTGTAACTTTTTTTCATTCTCCCTCAAAAGTATTTTTAGGCATTTCCCCCCTAATCATTCAGCTCCCTCTTCCCCCACCCCCTCATTGTGAAATTAAACATTAAGGAATAAGATTGTGTCTGGTAGGTTAGCTTTGGATAGCCAACCCTTTGTAACATATTTTTTTCACCCACCAAGAGTGGTCCTTGGGGACAATGTTGTACTTGCTGAGAATACATGATATAGAGCAGTTTCAAATCCTATATATTCCCTGTAAAAACTATATTGTTCAGTCTTGCAATCTCTGTACAGGACCCCTAAAATGAAGTTTTAATTTGGTATACAAAAGGCAGCTTTAAAAAAAAAAAAAGGCAAACATGCACAGAAAACTCAACCACCAGTCACATGAAGTCTCAAGGCTGGCATATCTGCCTCTAATTTTTCCTGTTGAGGCTGTCCTGAGGTAAATCTGTAAATTGCCGTGGTCCTGATTTCTTAGTTTTTGTTTCACTGTATATTTTTATAGCTGCCTCGAACTTTTTTGGAGTCAAGGAAGTATTACCTATGTGTTATATATGTGTGTGAGATATTTACATGGAACCCTAGACTCCAAGAAAGAGTTGCCAGTTGACTGTTACAAAGCATTCATCGTTAATCAGTTGTCTGAGGAACCTTAGTACACACTGGGAGATACTGAGGGCAGAAATCAAATCATACTGATTTAAAACCGTGACACAGCAAGCATAGTAGTTTGCAGAACAAGTGACCTAGACGATCGAAGCACCTCTGTATTTCAACAGACACCAAATGAACCATATTTGCGTTTATGTGAACTGGTATGATTCTTGCAGGGTTGAAGATTATTTTTACACCATAAAGTTGTATTTCTATTTTCTTTCTGATATACATGATCTTGAAAGTAAGTATTTAGTCAAGATTATACTTCATTAACTATGTATACATAGTTAATGAAGCATAGGTGAAAATTCAGTGTCATAAAAAGTATTTTTGTTATAATAATCATGAGTTCTATTTTATAAAGAATTATTAAACATACTCTGCCAAACCTGAAGGCAACACTTCCATATGATATATCTCAAAAGTATAACTTAAATATGTACAGGTTGGGTATCATTAGACTAGAGCTAATAGGAACCTCTTTGGTGACCCAATGGGTTAATATGCAGCACTGTGAAGCTATGACAGCCACTGCAGCATGAGTTAGATCCCGGCCAGGGAGGTGACCCACGTGGCATAGCAGACCTGTCTTGCCTGCTGCTCCCTCAGCAGTGTATTACAGTAGATCTGCCTGTTCTGCTCCCCACTCTGTGTCAGGTGAACCCTCTCACTTCCCGCACCTCTGACCCACACCTTAGTTTCTTGTATGTATTAATAAATATATTTTTTAAAAGAGTAGAGCTAATAAAGGACTATAGAGAAGAAAAATCTCTTGCCACCTCATTTTTCTAGCTTTCAGAGACCAGAATTATGCCATAGGTTCCAGTATTTGTCTTTTATTTTTGACAGGTTAGATGCAAATACTTTTGACATGTGAAATACAGTCTGCTATCTCATTTTAAAATAGTGGAACATTAAAAAGCTTTAAAATACCAGGTCTTTTTGGACATTCCATATAGTGGTTGCACTCTTCTTAAAAAGATCCTCCTCCTCAGTATTCAACTTAATTTTCACAATATCTGAGACACCATTTCGCCCCAAAATACAAGGGACACTGAGAAATATTTCTTCTTTTATTCCATATAAACCCTGAAAGGCAAAATTAGATTGTTCAGTAGTAACCTGACATAAGAAAGCAACTGTATGAGCTTCAGAATGAAGAACATCCCAGCGATTGTGGTGCTCAATAATCACTCAGAGAGCTGAAAAGTGATCATAGATAATACCAAGAGCATCCTACTGTCCTATGAACATGTGCAACTTGTGCTCAATGACATGAAGAACATCAGAGGCCTTCAAAAGGAACAAGGATAGCACTGCCTCCTTTATCATTTCTCAGGTCATCTTTCTGTCCAACAGAAAGGAAATTGTGCAGTCATTCATGATACTATTTTGTCTAAGGAAGGCTGTGAAATCAAGCGGCCTGAGTATAAACTTCACATCAAGAGAACAGTGAAGACTGAAGCAGAAAGTAACTGGGGAGATTCTGTTTCCTACAAGCTGATCTTTAGAACAGAGGGCACCACTGAGTTTGGGCAAAGAATGGTATAGGAAGCATCACCTCCAGTGTCCAGGGGTGAAGCTATGTACCCCTGTGGCTATGGGTACACAGGCAGGGCTCTGTCTCTGTCTCCTACTCCAGGCAATGGAAGGTGCCCCTTACCCTCCATGGTGCCCACCTGACTTCTAATCCAGGACTTTCCCTGATGGACAGCGCCATGGAATATCTGCAGCCATGGGCATTTCCCTGTTCTGGGCCTATGAAACCTTTGCAACCCTAATATGCCCTCTCCAACCCTGTAGCTGGAGCCAAGGCCATATAAGCAGTTACCACAACCTGTCTGGGCACACAGTGTAAACATACCTACAAATCTGCCGCCACCCTTCTCTGTATTACCCCCTGGTAATAAGACAACCCAGCAGACCATCATCCCTCCCTGCCTCCCACCAACTGAGTCTAAGGTTAGGGGAGGAGACAGAAGGTCATGTTTTCTTCCAAGCCTCATTATAGAGTTATCAGAAACTAACACTGAAAAAAAGGAAAAGCGTCCCGCTTCCCATGATAGCACAACACACACAGGCATTTCTCAGCCAAGCCTCCCTCTCATAGTTTCTGGAGCTCCACACTGACTCCGGCTCATTATTCCAGCTAGGTCACATTTCTCTGCCATAGTAAGTTTTTCCTAACCACCACTAATGCCCTCCCACCCACACCCAAGTGCAGTTAACTTTTCTTAGTATTTTGTAGTTTTTCATTATAGCATTTGGCACAATTTATTATTACACATTAACTTTTATAATTATTTTATTAAGAGTACTTCTTTCATTAAAAACTAACATCAGGGCCTCTATCTTATTTATTTACTATTATATCCTCAACGTATAATGCCTGGCATGGTAAGAACTTGGTAAGTATTAAAGGAAAGAATGATAACTGAAGACTCAATTTAAGTCTACCTTAATTATAGTGGAAACTGGATGCACTCTCCTGAGATTTTTCAATATTGATTCTGCCAGATCTGTCACAGATAGTCCAATAGCCCAAGAGGTGTACCCCTTTCGCTTGATAATTTCATAGGCACTAACAATGTAGAAAGAGAACAAAATTCATGAGAACCTTTGTTATGTGGTGTGACATTTTAGTCTCTGCCCTAATTTTCATACACTTTTATAGGATTATCATCACAAATATACATACATGAACTTGTGTTTTTTGTAGATTTAAATTTTAGTTTTGAATATCCAAAAGTTATTTCTAGTTCGACACCTTCTACTAATACATAATTTGACTAAAGCATGAAGGGAATTGTGTGCTGTCAAGATTGGTGAATATGCAAACAGACACTTCATTGCACATAAAACTAGTTAACTTCTGACCATCTGCTTCAACTTCATGTTTCTCTTCATCAAGTCCTTTGATGAACACAAGTTCTAGATACTGTTCTAAACATTTTATATGTGCTAACGTACTATTAATTTATTCTTCATAATAATCCTCTAAGGTAGACTATTATTATCCCCATTCTAAAGATAGGAACTTCACTTTTCAGATTTTAAAAAGGTTTCCAGTATCATACTATTAATTAACTTGTGAAGCCAAATTTCAAATATGCACCACTGGTTCTAAAGTACATATTCACGGGCTCACCCTGGTGATGCAATGGGTTAAGCCACAGCACTATGAAGCTATCTGCAGCTACTGCTTCGTGAGTTCGACCACCGGGTCAGGTGACTCACAAAGTGCAGCAGACCTCTCCTGTCTTACCCACTGCTCCCCTCAGCAGTGTATTTCAGTCTGTCTGCCTGTTCTGCTCCCCACTCTGTCTCTGGCATATACTCTCACCCACTGCATCTCTGACCTGCAATCCAGTAACAGATGCATAAAGAAATCTAAAAAAAACAAAAGAGGGCCCTCCCTGGTGGTGCAACTGTTTAAAGCACAGCACTACTCAGCTGTGTTCATAGTGGCTCCACCCCTGCACCCCTGGCCTGTACCCCAGTTCTTGTGTGCATAAATAAACAAGTCTTTTAAAAAAACTGACAGGTATTTGAGAGTAACTTAGTATAATGAGTGTGAATATGTACTTTGTAAGTTCTTTTGAAATAAGAATACTTTCTTTTTGAAAAAGCCTCCCACTGAAATGCAAATATGTACATGCATAGAAAAGCTATGCATAACAGAAAACTGAACTGGGGGGTTTTCAGAAGGTTAAGGTTACTTACCTCACAAAAAGCAAAGATCAACTATATACTTTTTGTCTGTGAAATTTGTTCTTAAAACACATTTTAAGACATTAAGAAATTGAATGAATCCTATTACCTTTCAACAACTTGTTTATGAATGTTTTTCCACTGGTCTTTGTCTGAATCTGTTCCTAATTGAGGGTTTAGAGTCTTCAGAGGAACGCCAGCAACATTCACCCCACTCCATAAGGGCACTAAAAGAAATATATCTCAAGATAAAAACTGTATAAAACATATTTTATGAGGTAACTAAACTAATGACGCAAATGACCTAAGGAAAAAAAAACACCAAGAAATACGAATAAAACAAATATTTGCCAGTTATATTAATATCAGAAAAAATGCTTCGAAGAAAATAAACAGTTAGAGTAGTGACAGATTAGTGATAATTATGATTACACAGTGATAACAGGTCTAACATACCACTAGAATCACCATGTTCTCCAATAATCCAACCATGACAGCTTGTAGGATGGACGCCTAGCTTCTCTCCAATTAGGTAACGGAAACGGGCCGAGTCTAGATTACAGCCAGTTCCAATCACACGACTTGGGGGAAATCCACTCAATTTCCAGACCACGTATGTCAAAATATCCACTAGGAAGAACAATCTCTTATTAGAAAAAAAGAACTATAGTAGCTTCCTTTTTTAATTTGCTTTTCTGAATAGATCGTCTTAGAATCAAATACAGGTATGTTACAGAGTTCAAAGTAAAGTAAATTAACAAATATGAAAAATCTCCCATAGATTTTTAAAAAGTTATTTACTGCTGGAATTTTTTTAATGTTATAACTTTTAAGATTTATTTATTTATTTATGCATACAGAACTGGGGTACAGGCCAGAGGTGCAGGGGCAGTGAGAGGATTCACCAGAGACAGTGTGGGGAGCAGAACAGGCAGATCGACAAAGTACACTGCTGAGGGGAGCAGCGGGCGGGTCAGGAGAGGTCTGCCACGCCATATGGATCACCTCCGGGGTGGGGATCAAACTCACACAGAAGAGGCTGCAGCCAGCTTGCAGTGCTGTGTCCTTACCCGTTGCACCACCAGGGAGGGCCTAGTGCTGGAATTTTTAAGCAACCAAAAAGTCCTCTTCCTTTGAGATAATGTATCTATGCATCTAATAGGCAGTTAACTCTACCTCCTATATTTCTTTCTTCATCACCACAGCCTCAATGAACCTATTAGCATCTCCGATCTAGAATAAGGCTACATCAATGCCCAGAACTGTGTACAGGTACGTACAGGTACGTAAAAGCTCAGAAAAAAACAAACATGAAAGAGCTTGAGTTTTAGCTCTGTCTGACATACACATCTTCCAAATAAGACATACAAATGGCCAACATGTACATGAAAAAGACGCTCAGCATCATTAATCGTCGGGAAACTGCAAATCAAAACCACATAGGTTATCATATATAAACATCACCTCAGTAAATTTATTATAAAAAAGAAAAGAAATGGCAAGAAAAGATCATCCTTATGAGGTTAAAAGGAGGAGAAAATACTCACCTGGATTTGAAACAACAAGTATTTTACATTCAGGACTACGACGGACTATGGTAGGAATCATTGATTTCATAATGTTCACGTTACGCTGGACCAAGGCAAGGCGACTTTCTCCTTCTTGTTGTCGTGCCCCTGCTGTTATAATAACTAGTTTGGAATTTTCAGATACATTACAATCTTAAAAGGAAACGAAAAATAATATTTAGATCAAGACTGTTCTTATAAATGCAAACTCTAAAATTTATATTCTTTTCCTTATTGTGTTTGTATGTCTTTGTGTTTAAAGAAATTCTTCTTTCCTTTCAGGTGATAGAGTCATCATTATCTTCTAAACAGAAGTTTTCACACTGTTCTTATAACTTGTTCTTTTTCAAGTGCCTTGTTAACCAAAAAATAATTATGCAATCTTATGTTCAAAGTAGCATTATTCACAATAGCCAAGTCACAAAACAAACCTAAGTGTTCATCAACAAATGGATAAAGAAATTATGGAATACATACTAAATACAATAATAAATGAAATAGTACCTTTTGAGACAAAATAGGTGGCTCTAGAGGTGATTATACGAAGTGAAATAAGCCAGAAAGTGAGTTACTGGATGGTTTCAGTCATTTGTGGAATAAAAATGACCAAAGGAAACAAATTGGGGCCTCGCTGGTGGCACAAGGAGTTAAGTCATAGCACTATACTCCGTGGTCCAGTACTGTGACACAGGTTCAATCCCAGGCCAGGGAGCTACCCACATGGCACAGTAGATCTCTCCGGCTGTTCCCTCAGTGGTGTATTTCAGTCAACCTGCCTGTTCTGCTCCAACTCCGTCTCTGGTGAAACCTCTCTCTCTGGTGAAAGCCCCTGCACCTCTGTATGCATAAATAAATAAACCTTTTTTAAATTTTTGAAAAAATAATCCTTTTTGGTGTCAAAAAGAGAAATGAAGGAAATGAAGGAAGCCGGGACCTTCCTGGTGGCACAGGGGTTAAAAATCTTAGCGCTATTGAGCCTTAGCCAGCCACTGTGGGGTAAATTCAATCCCCAGCCAAGGAGCTAATCCACTTGGTGCAGCAGACCTCTCCTGTCTCACCCACTCTCCCTCAAGCAGCATATTTCAGTAGAGCCACCTGTTTGGCTCCCAACTCTGTCTCTGGTGAAGCCTCTCAAGCCCCAGACCTCTGGCCTACACTCCAGTTTTTCTATGCATAAATAAATAAATCTTTAAAAAACATTAAGGAAAAAACTGAAGGAAAATCATAAAAATTTAGTAGTTTATGATCAGCTTGCTTCATGATTATCTTAAATTTCTTGCAGTACTTCCAAATTGAAAAGATGACTATTGGTATGGTTTTAAAAAAGGGTGCTGTT